AGCTAAAAAAATGAGTATTTAATGCCTTTTTAATTCATTAACAATAATGAGGAACAAATAAACTTAACTGAATTTAAAATAAATATACATCCTTAAATATACTAGAGTTTCTTTGAAATATCTGTGACATGCCAATAATAGTTAAGTATTTGAACTTAATTTGCATAACATTTTAAGTAGTTCATAATGCTTTTCCATTTTATTATGAATCTTACTCATAGGTTCTTAAAATGATATTCTAAAGTATCCAAAACAACTGCTAGTATTCCAGTTTTATACATGAGATAATTTTGTAGGTGATATAACCAATAAATACTTGTTTAAAATAAAAGCTTAAAAAGTAAAAAATTTCTGATTGAAAATCATATTAGGTTATCTGACTTCTAATTACCACTCATCTAATTCTATTATTTCATTGAAAACAAAATTTTAAAAAATTGTTCCAGATTTTTGCTTAGCAAATTTTCCCTTTTGAGAATATGTCTGTGCAAACTAACATGTATTACAAATGCTTATCTTGGATTTGTGAGTACAATCTAAGGCAGTCAAAGGATTACACAGCTACAAGTTCATATCACTAGAGACCTGATACAATTCAACTGAGAAAAAAATAATAAAATAACCTTCTACATCTATTTCCCATGTTTATTAGCAAATATTGACCGGACAAAGAAGCAAAGGATCAAGTTATGTGGTAAGAGAGGATTAAATTATTCAAGTTTCATTAGGCTACCTGTAAAGTACAGTAGAAGTTAAGGAATAAAACAGCTAATGGGATTGTAATTGAACTATAAAAATACAGTGCACAAAATATTTACTTTGATGTTTTGCTCTTATCTTTAAGATTAGAGACCCTTCAGTCTTCGCTACATTCACTGTTTATTCTTGGTTCTCTCTTTACCTTTTAAAGTACTGCTTTCTGTATCTTTTATCCCAGTTTATCTTTACACTTTTCTCTACCTACTTCTTGTCCTTCATTACATTATATGCCAAGCTCGGGTATTCAACTGTAAAGATCGGAAGATAAACATGTCATGTTGCTTAAGGAGCTCTAATTTTCATTCTCAGTCTGTGCCTTAAAACTAGAACTTTCTTAGCAATATTGAATTAAGTAAGAGTACTTAATTCAATTTGATATGAGAAATGGCCTGAAGAAGATGCATTTACTCTAATTCTAGACTAGTTCTTGTTCTCTCTCACGCCCTACTTTTTTTCAGGCTCTTTCAAACTTGTTATCTTTTAGTTTTTCTCTGATTTCAAGCCATTTACCCTGTTTGGCCATTTGAAATCCTGCTTCTCCAATTTTACCCTCAATGCTGTCTATTTTTGGTGTGTAGCTACTAGTTGGCTCTTGAGGTAACTTTATGTCAGAGAGTTCCAGTAACCATTTTGTTTACTTTAAGCCTCGCCTGGAAACATCCCACTAGACTGGTAAAAGGGCTGGGTTGCTCCTAAGCCTCTGAAAGTAGTGAAAGTAGGGGATCATTTATTCTCAGCCTGTATATAAAAAACTAGCATCCCAGGTAGAAATTACATTGCCCTAAAGAAATTCAAAATAAGAACTGGTTTAGGAAGAAAGCAATTGATATTGGAGCTGTATCATAAAATAATATTAATAATGACATATTGGGTAACCATAATTTCACTGTTTGAGCTGTTGACTTAAGGAAAACAAGTAGCTTAGTGAGGTGAAGTTTCATTCCTGTGATTCTTCAGTTAAAAATTGAAGTTTGCATCCAACTGATCATTGGTATATTAGAAGTATTTTGTGCTCACTCTAATAATGACAGATAATGATATATTTTGTACTGTGATATTTAATAAAAATAATCTGTGCTCTAAAAAGTATTTTGTGTTGCTGACTTAATTTCCTAATAAAAAAGTACTGATTAAAAAAACCATACTGGGAAATTAAATGCCTCATACATATTATAACAGACCCTGCTTTTATCTAGAATGTATGCTAATAGACAGTGGGTAGAAAAATGTAGAATCATATAAGTGATCCAAATAAAATAGGGATAGATATATTAGGAAAGATATAAAAATTTTAAATAATTTAGAAATAGTGATTGATACTACTATATGTAAAGTAGAAGACTGACTATAAGAAAGACTATAATTCTCATTTCTAAATCTTTTTCAAAATATAGGTGATTTTCCTGTACCTAGCAAGTAATTTTCCTGAATAAATAATCTGAGATTTTTTTAGATCTGAAGGTAATTTTAAAAGTCATCTATTCAAAACCTTTAGAGATGAGAAAACTTCCTTCTCAGAGTTTTTGGCAGGGACATATGACTAAATAATGGCAGAAAATAGGACTATACTCTATGCCTTTTGCTTTCCTGGAAAAAATATTCATAATATTATTATTATTATTTTAGTAATATATTTTTTCTTAAGTAATTTGGTCTGAAGCTTTGAGAAAAATAATTACTATGAAAAATTTAGGGTACCACAAAAAGAGGTAGTCCAGATGTCCCATCTCCAAGACAATTTTGCTCCATAAAAATATGATATCTAATAAACTTAATTTTGATGAGGCACACTTTTACTTAGAGAATGTCAGATTATGCTTTTAATAAAATGATGCTCTATGTTATTCTAAATAAAATGTTTGCCTTAAGTCAGAAAAACATACAGAAAATGAACTTACCTATTTCCACTTAAATCTAAAGCAGTTTGAACATTATAACTCATGACTTAAGAAATACTGATATTAATATATAATTTTAACTAAAATGAAAAAAATCACAAAAGAGATAAAATGGTTAAAATTACTCTGATAATAATTTAAACATTAAAAGAGAAGACCACTAAATAATACAGCCCAATTCCTATGTGAAATGAACCAAAATTTTGACATAGAGTTTTTCGTAATGTTTGAGGTTAAAAGACAGAGATCCTGATTTGAAACTCCTTGGGGAAATAACTTCCTCAAGTGCAGAATTCTCATGACAGACTAGGAATCACAAGAATATAAGACAGTCTTGCAAAAGCAAGAGCATAACATGGCAAGTGAATGAATGTGCAGAACAGAATATTGGTTATTGTTAAACTGCCAAATCCGCTTACTAACTAAGAATATAAGAGCATGAACACTGTAAAACTATGCCAAAACTAATGGAATTTGGATATCAGAAAAATAGAACTCAGTTTACAAAATTAGTTCTTCAGAATACAAATAGGCAAATTGAATGAATTTATAAATGAATAAAAATTTTATTCCTTAGGAAAAATTCCTATGAAGCATTCCCTATGAAGCATCAAATAAAAAAGGGGTTATTCAAATATCTGAACTTGATTCAAGAACATGTGTATGTCAAATTATTATGACGCAGATAAACATATTATATAGTACCTAAATCAGTACTAGTTGTTCCTTTCGGTTTATGTAACAAACCAAATTAATTCTAGTCTGGAGTAACAGTGACTCCTATCCGTTTACATTTCCTATTTAAAGGTAAAACAGTTGTTTCTCCATAACATCTGTTTGATCTTTCATTTCTCTAGAGAAAGTTCACTGATTTCGAGAGGAATTATAAACAGAAGTAATCCACTTATCTAACACAAAAAGACAATATAACCTACTGAAATTTTATTATAAAAAGAAACCAAATTTATATCCAAATAGAAAAAAAATTTTCCTCATCATTCATGTATTATCTAGAAAATCTTAAAGTTTTTAATAAAATTACTAGCCTCTCACCTGGGAATAGGTGTGTAAATATTTTGTATGTTGTCTTTAACTTAATGAGTTATCATGGAATAGGGAGTTTTTAAGTCTGAACTACTAAGCACTATTTTAATTTTTCAATTCATTCAAATTTAATTTAATGCTATTATAGTTTTTCAGTGGTATCAAGTACAGTGTTAAACTTATGACATAGTTTTCTTTATGTTTCATAATGTATGGTTTAATGGACAATTGCAGATTTCTTGCATAATAGTAACATACAGAACTCTAACAGTCAGAGAAAACTTTCACTGAATGTTACCTATGTATGAGTGATCATAATTTGTCATGTTTATGTTGTATATTTAGCGATCTTCACAGGCTTATAATGAGGGAAATACTACAGACATTATTCTTTTCAATACAGATGAAGAAACAAATGCTTAGAGAGATTAAATAAGTTGTCCCAAGTCACTAACCCAGATATTAAGTAGCAAAGTTGATACTGATAGCAGACCTATCTGCCTTCAAAACCTGTACTTCTAACCAGTTAACATCTTTGTTTCTAATATACATGGCTTCTATGGGTACCCACATAGAATGAGTACATTGTTGAACATGACACATCTGTAGCCATGTTTTCCTCATTAGTCCATACCACAAAAGAAGAGATGGTTTTCCTCACGTCTATTTCTCATCCCTTCAATTGTACTCTGCCTTTGCTGTGTGTCAACTACTCCCAAATTTTACTGCTTTCCTAGTTTTCTCCACAATGCATCACAACTCTGTATTCAGGGTTGTGCCTACCTGATAACCTTAACATCCATGCAATTGTTTCCCTTTTAACATCTGAGTTATCCTTAATAACACATTCATGCCTACCACTCATATAAGTAAAATATATCAATTCTAATTTTAAAGTTAAACACACCCACTTGTCTCTATCTTGATGTCTTCCTTCAACTTTAGTCCAATTCATACGCTTCTAAACCAGCCATTTTAAATCCCTTTGCCTTCACTTTTCTCTCCTTATATTTGTTCTCCACACAGCAGCCAGATTTTTTTTTTTTAATATACAAACTTAAGCAGTTAACAGACTGTGGCCATACTCCATGATGGCTGGTTGAAGAAATTCACCATTCTGTAGGATCTAAGTTTTGTATGGCTCCATGTAGATCCATGAAGATTGACTGACATGGAGCAATCCCCCTTCCCACTCCAAATCCTGGTTTCTGTACCCTGCTTCCACCAGGAGGGCCTCTCCTTCTACCACCCAGCCCACCTCAAGGGCTTCCAGGTCACTGAAGATGATTATCCCATAGGAAATATCTGGAACACTTCATGAATTTGCATGTTGTCCTTGCACAAGAGCCAGGCTAATCTTCTCTGTATCATTCCAATTTTGGTATATATGCTGCCAAAGCGAGCACCAGACTGATTTGTCACAAGAGTAACACATATATAGAAACTACAACATATATGCACATAAACTAAAACAGTACAAACATAGAGTGAAAAGCTAAACTTCTTTTCACAACTGTTGACATTTTAGGTTGGCACAAAAGTCATTGTGGTTTTCACCAAGTTACTTTCAAAAACCACAATTAGTTTTGCACCAACCTAATAGCTGATACATATGTGAAAATTGTTGTGTTTTGATCCTAGATGCCTTATAGAACTCTTTTAACTTTGCTTTGCCACAGTTGAGTACATTGACTCTATGTATAAAAATTATATTTTTTGAAAAATATATGTTTGGGTGATTTATTACCAATATATGTAACTTTTTTTTTCAATTTTATTGTATTGGCTAGAACTTTAAGATGATGCTGGATAGACACTGTGAAAGAGGGCATCCTTTCCCTCTTTCACATTTCCCAATTTAATAAGAATGTTTCTGAAATTTCATATATGTCTGTTGAACTTTTTAGAGGATTCCATTCATGAAACAGAGGAATTGCCTTCTTCTCATAACATGGTAAATGTTGGGTGAATGAATAAAGAAAATGTAGCGTATATACACAATGGAAAACCCTTCAGCCATAAAAAGGAAGGAAATCCTGCTCTTGATGACAACATGAAAGAACCTGGAGAACCTACTTTGAGAGAAATTTCAGGAGCAGAAAGACAAATACCACATAATCTTACTTATATATAGAATCTAAAAAAGTTGAACTCACACAAGCAAAATGGTGGTTTCCAGAAGCTAGGGGATTGGTCTAGCAAAAAGGCTATAAAAATCTCAGATGAAAGAGATAAGTTCAAGCATTCTATTGTATAGCATGATGACTAGAGCAAAAATTACTGAGTAAATTTTAAGTTTCTTGCTACAGAAAAAAAAAACATCAAAAAGTGAGAGGAGGATATGAACAGACACTTCTCAAAAGAAGACATTTATGCAGCCAACAAACATATGAAAAAAGCTCATCATCACTGGTCATTAGAGAAATGCAAGTCAAAACCACAATGAGATACCATCTCATACCAGTTAGAACTGTGATCATTAAAAAGTCAGGAAACAACAGATGCTGGAGAGGATGAAAAGAAATAGGAATGCTTTTACACTGTTGGTGGGAGTGTAAATTAGTTCAGCCATTGTGGAAGACAGTGTGGCGATTCCTCAAGGATCTAGAACCAGAAATACCATATATTATATATATATATATATATATATATATATATATATATACCATATATACCAGCAATCTAATTACTGGGTACATAGCCAAAGAATTATAAATAATTCTATTATAAAGACACATGCACATGTGTGTTTATTGTGGAACTGTTCACAATATCAAAGACTTGGAACCAACCCAAATGCCCATCAATGATAGACTGGATAAAAATAATGTGGTACATATATACCACGGAATACTATGCAGCCGTAAAAAAAAGAATGAGTTCATGTCCTTTGCAGAGACATTGATGAAGCTGGAAACCATCATTCTATACAAACTAACACAGGAACAGAAAACCAAACACCACATATTCTCACTCATAAATGGGAGTTGAACCATGAGAACACATGGACACAGGGAGGGGAATATCACACTCCAGGGCCTGTCATGAGGTCAGAGACTAGGGAGGGATAGCATTAGGAGAAATACCTAAAGTAGATGACAGGTTGAGGGATGCAACAAACCACCATGGCACCTGTATACCTATGTAACAAACCTGCATGTTCTGTACATGTATACCAGAACTTAAAGTATAATTTAAAAAAGAAAGAAAGAAAATATATGTGAGGTAATGTAAGTATAAAGTTGCTTGATTTAGCCATTCCCCAATGATTTGACAGAGATATCAAAACATTATGTGGTACACCATAAATACATATAATTTTTATTTGTCAATCTAAAGGAATTGATCAATGATAACAATTGTTGAAAACATTTTAACTGGATCTGAGATATTATGGATTTTTGTAGAAGTGCATTAGGGAAGTGCCTTAGGAAAAAAAAATTCTTTTTTTTTTTAATTATACTTTAAGTTATGGGGTACATGTGCAGATCTTGCAGGACTGTTGCATAGGTACACACATGCCATGTGGTTTGCTGCCTCCGTCCCCCATCACCTACATCAGGCATTTCTCCCAGTATTATTCCTCCCCAGCCTCTACCCCCCACTATCCCTCCCCTAGCCCCCGACTCCCCAACAGACCTCAGTGTGTGATGTTCCCCTCCCTGTGTCCATGCGTTTTCATTATTCAACACCCACCTACGAGTGAAAACATGCGGTTTTCTTTTTTTTAAAAAATTGCCATGTTTCCAGTGTGGTTGATAGAATTGAATTACAGTAAGATTTTGTTTTAAATTACCTTTTTAAAAAATACAATTATGTTATGTTTCTCTTGTATTTCAAGTGTAGTTGATAGAGTTGAATTACAGTAAGATTTTGTTTTAAATTACCTTTTTAAAAAAATACATAGTTAGGTGTGGTGGCATACACATGTTGTCCCAACTGCTTGGGAGGCTGAGACAAGAGTATTGCTTGACCCAGGAGTTTGAGTCAGTCTGGGCAACATAGTGAAAACCCATCTCTTAAAGATAATTACCTTTTTTAAACCTCAGAAATTCGCTCTAGTTGGTCAAAAAGTATAATTATTTTTAAATTACTGAATTTATTTGATACATTTTAAAAATTTGAGTATTTGTATTCATGGTCACATTGAACATCATAAATGAAATTTTCATCATATATAAGATTATTTTATAGTTTTTGTTTGTTTTCCTTTGCTAATTCTGTTTTGCAGAAAGTTAAATGCTAGACTCTAAACATTCTGAGTTCCCATATTTGTGTCTAGATTAAGAAAAGCAAATGTTTGTTTTTTAAGAGTTTAAAGTTGGTTAGAAACAGTTTTTATGTTACAAATTAACCTTTCTCATTCTTTACTTTGGTCATCTGTATCTGGTTTGTAAAAATAAATATTTTCAATATTTTCATAACTTTTTTAAGTTGAAAACAATAATTTAATATTACATGCTTCTCTCCCAGTATCTTTAGTTTTAAAAAATACATATTAGGTTTCAAATGGTCTTTTGAGAATATCTTTGTTATTTTTCTCTTGGATTTGATACATAGTGCTCTTATTTTTCATATATAGATGAATGCATACAGATATGCACAGAAATTACCAAACTTTAAACATACATACAAATGTGTATGTGAATAAATATGGGTTGTTTGGCCAAGTTGTAAAAATTTATTTGTTCTTCATATAAAGCCAAAATACATGTATGACATCTTTCATAGATTGATGGATATTTTCTTTGTGGCCTAATATCATCAATGCCTTCCAGTTCTATAGGTCTCATTGTAAACAGTAGCTTATGCTTCTTTGGGTTTAGAGTTCCCCATGTATTTATTAAAACATATATATAGCTATGCTATTCAAATTCTTTTTTTTCTTCTTGGTCCCTCCTGTTTTCTCACAAGACTCTGTTATTTGTCTCTTCAAAATATTTTACTCTGTTTGTATTAATTGCCCACGTATCTGTCATTTTCTTCCCCATTTTGTAAATACTCTTGAAAGCAGTCAACATTTTATCCCCAGTTTACTACATGGCTTACAATAATTAGTATGCCAAATATAGGGCATGGCTCACAATAATTCTCAATATTATTTGTTGAGTGAATGAACATTCAGTAATTGGCTAATGTTCACCATTACTTTAAGGGTTTCAGTAACTAGAACTTAGTGTGAACAAACTTAGTGTGAATAAGAACATTCTTTCATCCCACATTGATGTTAATAGATACATTCCTCATAAATATTAAACTATCATAAAATTATATGTGATTATTTTCTTTTTGTTTTGCTGCAAAGCTAGTGTAGTTAGCTTTGAATTAATATTATTGATTACTTATTAACGAATCCTAATAACTGAAACATAATTGTAGTTGACTCTGAATATCTAACATATATTAGGAAATTAAGCAGATTTTTAAGTTTAATAATGATTTACACTACTCTCTGATAGAACACTTCATCTCAAACGTCCTTTCTCATGAAGTCTTACACGCTTCCCTGATTTGATCCTTCATGACTTCTTTTAGTTTGTGTGGAATTGTACACATTTTCTCAGCTCTTTGATGGAATGAATCCGATTCCACTAAGACTGATATGCCCAATTTCCCTTTGTCTCACTTAGAGTTCCGCTCTTCTACCTCAATGATACACAAAGAAACCCTGGGGGGGCTTTTACCTCAATAGTAAAATGTTTCTACTGGCACAAGTTTTTCACTAGAACAGCCCACCAGTGAGCTATAGAGTGCGTATAAAAGTTGGTTTCTCCTGTAGCAGCCTGGCTGACTTTCCCTTTCATCAAGAACCCCAGGGATTTGATGTGAATCATTCCCATTGAGGTTAATTGGACAACACATTGAGAAAACTGGCCGTAAACTCAAACATCATCTGCTCTGATGCTAAAAACCAAATAGCACAATTGTAGTTTATTTTAATTGGCACCCTACTGCGAAGGGAGAAAGAAGTCAATTATCAGATTACTCTAATTATCAGAAGCATGCAAGCATACCCCTGCATTGAAAGTTTTATTTTTCCTTCTTCATTCAATAACCTATGTTGTTCTCTTACATTCTATTTGATAGAAAATATTTACATTAACAAATACAGCCCTTATTAAGTATTATCATATGTACTGAAATGGAAATAAAATCTCTTTTAATTAAAATCTGGCTGTGATATTTTATTTATTAATGTAAAACTTAGTTCACTCCTTCATTTCATATCTTGTGGACTTTTACTATATGTCAGACATACATTTACTTGAGAAACTATTTTTCAAATGTACATATTTGATGTACATTTTTCTTGAGATATTTTTCCTGGTTTACGTTTATTTATTAATTAGGAATACATAAGGAAGCCTAGCTCCTCTGTGAATGGACTTTATCTTCTGTAACACAT